ATGGGCCGAATGGCCTCCTCTCGTTTGTAAATTTCTTATGTTCTTATTTCATTTTGCATGAGCAAACAGACTCAAGAAAAAAGGGAATATATATGCACTTAACATGTTTATTGAACATCTTGAACACGATTCGGATGCATTCCATCTGCCACAGAAGTACAATACCATGGACCCATATCAAAAAGCAAGATTTTTTGCTTAGCCAGGCAACTTGTCAGATTTAAGGTACCTCAGTTTAAATTGTCTTTATCTTCGTTCCACTTACAATTAGCCCGAACTACTGTAAATCTGACAAATAAACCGACTAATCGTGAAATCCAATTCTAGCTCGGTTAATTGCCATTGTTAGCAATATCAGTTGATAACACATTACGCATAAATTTATACGCATACGTGCTTTACGTATAAAACTCCTTAGCAACACTTCCACAGATAAGTTGGACGGTATAGTGTGTGCGACCGATTTAATGAGCCACAAATGAGAAGTAGTGCTTAAACAGTATAAAACAACTTTCCCTTCTGTTGATAAAAGGCGCAGCCATCTTGGATTCTGAACTCGGGATCCTCTGTGCTGCCCAGAGATATTTCTCGGATCTCCGAGAAACATGAGCACGCATGTCGTCACTTCTGGCTTCAAAACTCAGAATCTGACTCGGAATATGGAACGCACCAAAACTGCCCGAAACGGGTTGACAGAGACATTTCAGAGATTTTGAGTCATTCTGCGCTGCAGATGGGTTAATTGCATTAAAATTTTTTATCAGATTAATCATGATGATGGATTAATCCCCGTTAACCCATTAATTTTGACAGCTCTAATATATATACACACACACACTTGCACTGTGTTGATATACAGTGATGCAGATTGGCATAGATTGCCATGAATCTGGTAATTTGATATGTCTCAAAAACACGTTTTCGTTTCTGACAAACCCTTCCAAGACACCTTGTATTTTCTTGCAACTTAAAAATTGCCCGCAACTTTTCATTGTGCCCAGCATACAGCATGTAGTGTTATGGCAAATTATTAAATTTCCATCATGCATTCAAACGGTTTTCAATAAATTAAAAACAAATAATTACATTCAACAGTAATATCACTGACCGCTCTCCCGTGACCAAACGAACAGCACAACTGCACACATTAACTTTTTAACATGGAGTTCATGGTGTTACTTGCATAATCATTTATTTACTTGTACACACAGGAG